GTTTCCAGGAACCATCGTCCTAGCCGTCCTCATCTCCTATGTCATCCCCGATGGCATCCGCATCATCTCCCTCCCCTTCTTCCTCCGATACCAAACCCTATTCTTCAACCTGATTACGACCAAACCGTTGCTGAACGTCTACCTGGCGGCCACCATCATCAAGACGCTGAATGAAGACGATGGGAGGAAACAGACAATTTCTGTTTCCGTTTCTACACAGCGTGGGAGTCGAATAAATTGAAAAACACGCTAGAACAGCTTCGAAATGTCTCTCTCTCTCTCTCCCTCTCTCGCCCGGCCATGTACTCCAGGTTGACACGAAATTATCGCTTGTCATCAGGGCAATTTCACAAAAACGGCTTCCTAGACATCAGCGCCGCATGAGATCCCACACGATACAAACAAACGGTCCGGGAAAACGAACCGCCCGTCTAAAAACCCAAAGTCCGGACACCTATCTCCACTTTGATATCAACTATAAACAAAACTAATCCTAAGCTAAACTTAAGTCCAAGCTCAAGCCTAAGCCTAGGCTTAAGCCCATTCTTAAGCCAAATCTAAGCTCAAGCCCAGGCCTAAGTCTAAGCCCAGGTACAAGCCAAGCCTAAGCCTACACACTTCCTCAATCGAAATGTCGTCATCCACCTGGGATATTGTCAACATTGCGCTCCAAAATGTTGTTAGTAAGTGAATTCGAAATTGTTTTGCTTCTGAAAGGCTTAAAAAATTGGATCGAAAAGTTCATAATAACCCGTAAAAACACTTCAAACCCCATTTAGATGCTGTAGTACTAGCGGCAAACCTTGGAGTCCTTGGCTTCTCAATATTCCGAGGCCTATCTGGGCGCAAGGAGCTGGCAGTTACGCTATTTCTCTGCTTCGCCGATTCTACTTATGCTCTGGCAAATGCGTATTCGATGGCTCGGCGGTTGTACATCTACCTGTTTCTGGATCGTAGGTTTTGTCTGTTGCTCCCTTTCGCTCTCTCTCACTCTCTCTCTCTCTCTTTATCGACACAAAGGAAAATTTAGCAACTATCATCGTCAACAACCTGTACTGCATGAAGCAGTTCTACTCCTTCTTGATCCTCTACAGCTTCCCTTATACCGGTCTTGCCGATCTTATCTTTTCTATCGACAAGCTCATCATGGTCAAGTATCCGTTCTTCTACCGCGAGATTCCGGTTCGCAGGTTTTACTATTTGTTTTTGGGTGAGTTTTCTCTCTCTCTCGCTCTCTCTCTGTCTCTATATCTCTCGCTCTCTCGCTCTCCCCTTCTCTCTCACCCTCTCATCTCTAAATTCAGGTATCACTCTCCTCTTCTGTGCAACAACCCTGTGGATAGCTATCGAATGGTTTAATATGGACCCCTACGAGACAACAATCCTGTGCTCCTCCGACTACATGCCCAGCCGATTCCAGCTCCCCTCCGTCTGGGCCCAGCTGGCCCTGACAACCCTTTCGGTGGTAGCCTACGTTCCTGTACTTATTTACATCGTGCGGGCTCGGCTTGGAGGGTTATCAAGCAGAAAAGCCCACGAAAAGAAGGGGGTCAAACTGGCCATCAGGGGAGGTAGGTTACTGTAAGTGTAATTCATGCCTTCGCGCTTCCTCAATGATCTCTGCTAGTCCCCCGATTCCTCAATGATCTCTGCTAGTGCCCCCGATTCCTCAATGATCTCTCCTTGTCTGCCCTCGATTCCTCAAAGATCTCTGCTAGCTTGCCTCCCCGTTTTTCCATCAATTCCCTAAGAATCACTGCTAGCCTGTCCCTTTCAACCGTCAATTTTCAGGAACAATCGTCCTAGCCGTCCTCATCTCCTACGTCATCCCGGACAGTATCCGTGTCTTCTTCCTCCCCTTCTTCCTCCACTACCAAACCCTATTTTTCAACCTAATGACCGTCAAGCCGTTGGTGAACATCTACTTTGCCGCCACCATCATCAGATCCCTGAATGAGGAAGACCGAAAAGTCGCCACGAAAAACATCTCCATGTCCACGCAGCGAGATAGCAAAAATTTGGCGGGGCAAATAAATTAATGGGCGTGCGAATAGGGGGGCTGGATTCTTGCGAGGTGGCTGGCTGACGAATGCACTCGGAAAAGTTAATTTACATGAAATAATCGTGAAAATCTACACAAGATTTTGACGATTTTTAAGCCGATTTAAAAATAGAAGCTAAAGATTAGCCTAAAACAATTTTATGAAAACTTCTAAATTCCGATTTACTATCATAATGCCGAAAATGACACTGTCGAAATGGCATAAAGTCGAAATTCATACCGTCGAAACTCTTAACCTCGAAAATTGGTATTGTCGAATGTCAGAATGTAGAAATTTAGATACGGCGAAAGTTTTTTCGCTAGAATTTGGGTCTTCGCGCAATTTCCTTGTGTAAATTTCGACATTTTGTCGGCATTATGAGAATTCGGTAGTATGAAATTTCGACAATATCATTTTCGCCATTTTATTTTGAAATTATGATTTTCGACATTATTAATTTCGGCATTCTGAATTTCGACATTTTAAAAACTATGAAGTTGTCGTTGATTTTTTGAGTATTGTCAAAAAAAAAGTATCAAAAATTAGCAAAAAGGCAAAATTCCGAGTTCCAAAAATTTTCAAATATGTTTAGCACTTTCTAGCATCAGAAACTGTTTAAAAATTATGAAAGGAAATTATTTATTTATAAAAGTTCAACAGGCAAAAATAAAAATTCAGCTGGTCCCCCTCTAACAGACAAGTGCGCTACATTTTTCCAAATTGGAGCTTCTCTTCAGTTTTCTTTCCCCTCTTTTTTTCTTCAGTGCCCGTTAAAAGCTCTTATTTTCTTTGTCCATCAGCATACTGCTTTTTGAATTCCTAAACTATACAATAACTCCCGCACGTTTTCAACTTATTATACCTCGGGCGCGCCGCCTAATTCGCATTTTCCGGCTTCACACGCTGCCCAGGAACCAAAAATACACCAGGCTCACATAGTTCGGCGGCCCTACTCCTCCAACCGCTCTTAAACTTGCAATGTCCACCTTCGACGTCATCAACATTACCGTTCAGAATGTTTTTAGTAAGTTTGTTTAAAATTGGCGAGGAAAACCATCATTTTCCGACATTTTGGAGCTTTTGCATTATCGGGGGGGGGGAGGAAATTTTTTTATACGTCCAGAAACTTTCGAACAAATTAATAACAATTTTAATCGCGTTTTTAGAAAAATTTAACCATATTTCAAGTCAAACACTACATAAAAGACTACAACGTTTTTAAAAATTCAAAATTTTGCTCCGAAAAGCGGATTTTTCCCGGGAAAAACTATAATTTTTGATGAAAAATTGTAAACCCCCCCCCCCCGATCATGCCAAAGCACCTCATTTTTGTATTACAAATATAAAGAGGAATTTTGAGCCCAAAATGCGCAGCATAAAACTTTTTGAAAAGCGGAATCCCGCAGCAAAAATTGGTCCAAAATTTCGCTCACATATTCAGACACAATCGTCCTCTCCTCAAACCTGTTCGTCCTCATCTACTGCGCAAAACAGCGTATTTTCCGCAAAGAAATCGCCGTCACACTATTCCTCTGTGTCGCCGACTGCACCTACGCCATCGGGAACGGCGTCTCGATGGCGCGTCGCTTGTTGGTCTACCTCTTCTTTGACCGTAAGCCTAAAAAAATACCTATAAAAACCTGACAATCTAGCGACCACCGTTATAAATCATCGCGACTGTCTGAAAAATGGGTTTTCGTACGTGCTCCTCTACAGTTTTCCCTATACCGGGCTGGCCGACTTCATTTTCTCGCTGGACAAGCTGCTGATGATCCAGTTTCCAATATTCTACCGGAAACTGACAGCCACACATTTGACAGTGGTGTTTCTTGGTAGGGCATATAAAAAATGAGCACACCGGAGCTTTCGCATTATCGGGGGGGGGGGCTTTTTTTCCTATAAGTAGATATGTCATTTCAGTAAAATACAGCTTATTTGAAGTATAAAAACTCACTAAGTAACTTTTAAACAGCTTGAACGCCAAAATAGTGGTAAAAATTGCCGATTTTTGCGGAAAAATTTATATTTGATGTTTTTTTTTAATAATAATTTCTATATTTTTGAGCTGAGGAATAGTGCAAAAAGCTCAAGTATTTTTCTATTTGTAGTATTAGCTAAAATTGGATCTCAACGAGAAAATGGCTGTTTTTCACACCTTTTCCCGCAAGCACCCAGTAAGCCATTATCCATTTCAGCGATCAGCGGAACTCTGCTTGTCACCACCACTATCATTTTCGTGCTGTGGATCAGCATGGATCCGTATCCCACATCTATACTTTGTCCGTCCGACTACATGCCTCGCCATTTCCAGTTGCCATCAATATCCGCTCGCTTGCTCTTTAGCTCGCTGGCAGTTATCGTCTACCTGCCCGTCACATGGACTTTATTGCACATGCGCCTAAAATTGGCAAACCGGCCTAAAAACTATGATCGTCGTGCGATACGGCTAGCGTTGCGCGCAGGTCAGTTTATAAACTTTGTTCCAAAAATTATCATCTTTCTCAGGCGCCATCGTGTTCGCCGTCCTTATCTCATGCGTTATACCAGATACAATTCGCCTCGTTTCCCTAGATTTCTTCTTGAGCTACCAGGCCGTTTTCTACAATCTAATCATCGCTAAGCCGCTCCTCAACGCCCTTTTTGCATTTACGATCATTCGAACGATCGACGCGCGAACTATACGCCATATTACCGGCTCGACACCGATACCTCGTCCTCAAACTTAACCGGAAACCCACCGGAACAAAGTATTAACCTCTGTAAATTGCCGGGTCATATACCAAAGATAAAATATATTAATTTATAAACCCTTCTTAATACATCTTTATTAGTACAGGAAATTCATAAGACCTAATGAAAGAACTATTCGTTCATGAGCACTTCGATGGTTGACGAGTCTCGTTGGCAGCTTTCAGTCAGCACTCTAAAAAAAAGCAATTATCCAAAAAAATTAAATTACTCGATCCCGCTCTCCGTTCGCACCACATCGTCCTCGATTCGGTATCCGATACCACGGAATTCCTTCGGCACATTTTTACGGTCATCCGGGATGTAGACGCCTAAATTCGTAGGATTATAGGGTTGGAATTTCTACCTGGCTCTATCGTAAAGGCCATTCCGGGCTGCAGATTCATATTCTTGGCAACGGTGTCACAGTCGTGGACGTCCATACCGAGGTAGTGGGAGACGTGGTGTGGGCATAGAGCGTTAGCCTCCTAAAATGCAGATAATTGATGTAGCTTTTTACGTCGTTGTTCGTCGTCGTCGTCGTTTAGCATAGTAAATTCATAAAAATTACTGCAATTTTTGCAATTAATTGGCCAAAAATTTCGATTTTTTTTAATTGAAAGAATTTTTGACGTTTTAGTAATCAAAATCTGCTAAAAAAAAACAAAAAAAAACACTACTAAAGCCTCAAATTTTTTACGATGTGTAGGCCGATAGTTCCTCTCCCCCCTTCCCCCCCCGCTAACAGTCCAATACCACGAAAAAAAATAACAGAACATAAAACCAAACATACCCGCAGCAATTCCTGGTCGGTCAGCTTATTCGATAGCACGCCCGCCTCGCGCATCGCCGCCGCCAAGTATTCGTTCATCCGGTGGAACAGCGTGCTCAGGCTGCACTGAAAATAATAATTTTCAATTTTTTTTGATTTACGTCCCATACCTCATTGTTGTTGGCGTAATGAAGCAGATTTGTTTGCACCAAATTCAGGGCATCGTAGAGCACTCGCTGCGGGTCCGACCAGCGGCCGCTGACCGGAAAGCACCTGAATATTTAGAAATTACTGAATTTTGCGCCCGATACCTCGTAATATCTGATACATAGCCGTTAATGTCGCATCCCGCGTCCATTAAAACGGTATCGGTGGGTCGGAGAGACGAGCTGGCATTGAGGTAATGGATGGTATTTGCACGAGGGCCGCCGGCAATCACGGGCAGATATGCCAATGCCTAAAAAATTTAGCTTTTCCGCTAGTGGATAACAAACGCCGTTAAAAAATTTGCAGTTTTTCAAAAACCACCACCTCGGCGCCTCTCCTTCTCGATTCCAGCTCCATCCTTCCCCGTATCTCATTTTCGTGATAAACATGTCTTGATTTCGAGATTGTTGCTGTGAGCGCGACGGATCCAACTTCACACACGTGTCTCATCATCTCAACCTCCTTGGGCGACTTTTGCACTCTAAAAATATGTTTTTATAAATGCGAGATTTTCACCTCAAAAGATGAAGCTCGTTTTTGATCGATGCCATCGAGGACCCGCCGGCAAGTTGCTGCTTGGTTTCGGCGTTCCAGTTCCCGTCAAAATCGTAGCAAAGGAAGGCTCTAAGCAAAATATAAAGGAGTAATAAAAAGGGAAAAACGAGCAAGAGAGTTCATAAAAATTACCCCTTTGTCGTCTTATCCAGGAAGCCGAGGAATTGCCGCACGGGAAGCACCTCAACGGCACCGGATGTCGAGACAAGTTCGGCTTGATCTGGGGAGGGGCCCTAAAATAGATGTTTGGAACGGAGAGAGCTGTTTCTCACCTCCCAAAGCTCCTCGTGCGACGTCTTCTTGTCGAGGAAGAGGTAGCAGCGCACGTCTCCCTTCTCGGCAACATGCATGGCATAAATTGCGCCAGGTTCTGTGATTCCGGTCAAGTAGCGGAAGTTCGAGCATTGCCGGTAGTGGGTGACGACGTCAGGGGCGATGTAGTGAAGCTTTGAACCTGAAAAGCAGAGCCTTTAGGTACATTTGGTTAAAGTCTAGATCGGCCTCCACCAAGTCCTATTAGAAAGTAGGCTTTTCAATCCCCGTTTTTTTTCTCGCGATGTTTTTGATTAAAACATAGTGGATTCTTACTAATTAAACGAAGACGGGCATTTTGTTACACCTTACAGCTCAAAGGATGACCCAGATACAACGT